GGAACCTGAGCCTCAGTCACAGGCTAGTGAGGGCAGGGGGGAGTCCAGACAATAGCCCCAAATCCCTGGTCCAGTGCGCCCCACCCCTCCCCCTACATTTAGCTCACTGCCCCAGAAGGGATGGTCCTGACTCCCCTTCCCTTCCCAGAAGCTCCTCTGATAGGTCCCCAGTCAGGGCTGCTCCCAACACCTGTCACTGAACCTGGGAGATCTCCCACCCCAGACCCCCCAGGCCCCTAGGATTGGGGCTGGGTCAGCTCCCTCAGTGTGGCTGGGAATTCTGCTTCTCCCATTAGGAACCTCCACACCAAGTCTGACTATATCATTTCCTGGCCCAGGGTCAGTTTCCCCTTGGCAAAACTGGGTTTAATAACAGGCCACTAGGCCCTGGGGGGAGGGGAGGTGAATCAGAGTGGGCTGGGCCGGCTGGGACCAGCCCCCCTGTTTTCATTACACAACCACTCCCTCCCCGTTGCCACCCTGGCAGCCTCTGGGGATGCTGGAGAGACCCGGGGCTCCCTCCTGTGTCCTTGGTCTCTCTCCTCAGGGGTCGTTTCTTCTACCCCTTCTAGCTCTGCCCTGGGTACTTGGCAGGCTAGTAAGTGCTTGCTGGTGACTGACCAACTGACAGGCTGGGCAGGCCCTTTCTCCTTTTCCTCTCCCTGTCCCAGTTCCCCTCAAGCCCAACTTTACCCGGCGCCACCCACCTCTCAGCCAAGCCGCCACCTTCTCGGGGGTCCAGGTCGATACAGGTTCCATGGCCGAAACCGGCCGCTGGGCTTTGCGCCCGCAGCGTCCCACTGGCTCAGGAATTTCCGCTCCCGGAGCTCGGGCTTGGGGCGGGTCCGGGCGAGGCTCTGGGTGGAGCCTCCAGCCTACCTGGGCTTACGTGATAGACTAGGTGAGGCGCGGTGACAGCCATTGGCCCACCACCTGTCTGCCTCCTGCCTCGCCCTTCTAAGCCTCCATGGGCCAGTGGGCGGCCTCACCGGGGGGGAGGTGCCAGTGGAGTGTGACCCTGGCAAATCAGGGCCAGCCCAGGGATCGCTCCCCAGAGGGCCCAAACGGCAGGGCTGGAACCAGACCTTCAAGTTTTCCCAAAAAAGGGCCAACAGGTGACCTGTGAGCACAGTAGGACAGGAACCTGACCTTCATATTCCCCAAAAAGGACCAAAAGGTGACTGTGAGCACAGTAGCCAGCAGAGATCAGGCTAGGGAGTTAAGAGCCCAGGGTGCAATTCCCAGCCCACATCCTGTTTGCAGTGTGACCAGAGCCAGCCCTCCCCACCAGCCTTGGTTTCCCTGTGTGCCCAGTGAATGTCACAGTCTGCTTCAGAGGCTGCTATGTGCAGGCCACGCTATAAAGCCTTTAGAACAGGGGTTTTGAGGCCCCTGTTCTTTCTGTACTGTGGATCCTTCAGGCAGTGTAGTGGAACCTATGAACCCTTCTCAGAATGCATTTTAAAACATTAAACAAAATGCTGGCAATGACAGAGAACACCTTATCCAAATGTAGTTTAAAACTAATGTAGGATAGAATGTGTTTATTAACATTAAATGAGGAGACTGGAAAAGTAAATTCTTTTCCAAGGATTTCAGGATTTTTCACTAGCTTGAATAAGCACATTAAACCCAGTGGATGGTCTTTGACTCACTTCTGACATATTGATCAGCAAATTAAAGATAAAGAGCAGGGATTGTAAGGGAGTAGTAGAGAAGACTGAGTGGTGGGTACAAGAACTGCAGTAGTTATGAGCATAAATAAATATGTCGACATCTGCAGTAATACAACTTGATATGAAAACATCTGTAATGTCTGTTGGTGACAAAGTCACAAGATACTGCTAATAGGGCCCTCCTGGTGGTGCAGGGGTGAAAGACAGCACTGTGGGGCCCAGTGGGTTAAAGCACAGCATTAAGAGGCTAAAGCCATTTCAGCATGAGTTCGATCCCCAGCCCCGGAGGTGACCCACATGACGCAGCAGACCTCTCCTGACCGGCCCGCTATTCCCCTCACCAGTGTGTTTCAGTCAATCTGCCTGTTTTGCTCCCCACTCTGTCTCTGGTGAATCCTCTCACTCCCTGCACCTCAGGCCTACACCCCAGTTCTTGTATGCATAAATAAACCAATCTTTTAAAAATGCAATCCATATAGAAGAAAATGGAAATTTTTGGTTAGAGGTAATACAAGGCTGGGACAGTTTTGCTCCCAGCCACATGTATGCACCCCCTACACCTCTTAAAAGCCTCAGGCCTAGAACAATGCCTAACATGTACCACCCATGCAGCCATCATCCGAGGCCAGCGGGAGCAAGTGGGGTCAGTTTCACTTGCCGTGTGGCGGAGTCTAACTCCTGTGCCTCCCACAGGGGGACACCTACACGTTAGTGCTTTGAGCTTTTAGGAGTCTGCATGTGCAGCATTGGGTAGACCTGAGTTATTACTGCTTGAGTTTTGTGGGGAGAGGGTTGGGTCTGGCCCTCGACTGCGCGGTCTGCTGCGTGATCTACCTGCGTTCTGATGGCCCAGCCTGCGGGGCCGTTGTTTTCTTACCTGCAACCTGGACACTCCAGAGCTGAACTTAGTCCACCAATGCCCATGCGGTACCTGTATTTTAATTGTCATCAGGAAATTCTACAAAGTTAGTTCTCTGGACTCTACCACGCCTTCACATGGGTGTCAAAGACGAGAGCTGATCGTCGGCTGCTGCTTTCAGGGGTAACCCCAGCTCACCAGGTCCCTGCACACCTTGCTCCCTGCCAGGAACTTGCAGTCCTCCACAACACAGGCCTCCCCTCAGGCTTTACCCCAGGTCCTCATGCCCAGCACTCTACCCCTCAAGACTCCTGCATGCTATGTCCTCTAACATTTTGTCTCTTTCTACAAAAGCCTTCCTGTGGCATTTGGGGAATAAACAGACCTGTCTCCCCCATCTGTATTCATCAAATATCTACCCGACCGGCATAAGATGTAGAGGTGAGGACCCAGCCAGTGTCTGCCAGCTCTGAACTCACAGCCCTGTAGGGGAGAAACAGACAAGACTCACCACTTGGCTCAACTACTCCCTGAGGACAGGAGGCCTAGCACCCACAGGGCTTCGCTCTGCCCCCAGCACCTGGCAGGGCCAGGCAGTTACAGGTATAGTAGATGGCACCTTCTATTTTATTTATAAAGATTTATTCATTTATGCATAGATTGGGAATGTAGGCCAGAGGTGTGGTAGGTGAGGGGGTGCATCAAAGGTAGAGTGGGGAACAGGACAGGGGGATTGAAACACACTGCTGAGGGGAGCAGCAGGCGAGACGAGAGGTCTGATGCGCCATGTGGGTCAGCTCCCTGACCTGGGATTGAACTCAGGCTGTAACAGTGTTGAGATTCAACTCCCAGGCTACCAGCGAGCCCTCAGCTTCTATTTTAAAAGTTTTTTTAAAATGAAATTATGCAAGTTCTTTTTATGTAGTTGCTGTAAAACTTCTGAAGGTAACAGTAGGTCATGACATGAGAAGAGGATGTGCCCGTCCCAGCACGTCCCTAGAAGTTCTGTGTGTAGATACCACATGCCTGTGCACAAACGTGCTCTTTTTGTTCCTTTCCATTTTATGAGGTAGAGTAAAGTGCTTAGGAAAGAGCTCAGCACAGTCAGCTATTGTTTTTCAGCTCATCAGTTTGATCAGTACAGGCACATCTTTTACTACTGTCCTGCACCAAGGGCAGGGAAGACCCTACGTACCTCCATCTTAGGGAGGGGTGTGAAATGTGCTTTCCCCTAGGACGGCAGTTGATGTAATAGAAACCACGCAAAAAGGACCATGGCTTGGAGGGCAGGGGCTGCGAGCTGACCGGTGACACCCAAGTATCTGGGTCAGGGCAGTGTGAGGAGGCCCCCAGTGCCTGGTCTAGGCCTTGCTCACCCATATGCAGCCGGCAAGGCCTCTCCTGTGGGTGGGGGAGGTGCTGCTCTGGCCTGATGCTGATCTCTCCTGACAGCTGCTCCTGAAGCTGGCAAGGCGGGTAGGAGGGAGGGGGAGCCCAGATTTAAAGGTCCAGTAGCCCCGCCCTCTGCCAGACCTGATGAGCATCCTCTGAGGCCACTGCGCTCATACAAATAAGAGGTCAGGCCCCTCTCTGCTCCTATCTTTACTTCTTGGTACCATGAATGCCACTAGCCTTCCATCCCTCTTCCATTCCACAGGCTGCCAGGGAGACTAGAGGCGAACACCATGCGATTTCGTCGCCTGACTCCTGGCTACTTCCGGGTGCTACAGGTAAGTACCCCTAACTCCTGGCTCCTGGCATCGATCCCCTTCCTCCCCCTATGGACCGTGGCTGAGGGCTGGGTTGACACCCCAACAGCCAGGCTGTCACGTTCCCTGCCGCCTGAGCTGCCAGGACCCAGATGGGCAATGAAGCGAAATGGATTCGGGTGGAATCTCCCCAGAGCACAATGGCGTCCATACCTCCTCCACCCAGCCTGTATCTTTCAGCAGTTCCAACTGACCCCTCAGGCACACCTTCTGTGAATCCCCAGATGCAGATTGCTGGGGAGCTGAAGGCAGAACCCCGGAGTATACTAGCTGGGGCTGTGGCAACATTGCTGGCTGTCCTCGGGCTGGGTGGCTCCTGCTATGCTGTCTGGAAGATGGTGAAGCAGCAGCCTCAGCAGCAGCAGCAGCAGCAGCAGCAGAAGCAGCAGGCCCAGGCTCCACGATGAGGGCAGCCTCTCCCTGGGCTGTAGGGGTAGGTGGCAAACTGGGGGATGCAATCTCAGGAACATACTTTTCTGGCGTCAGTCCCTGCCTTCATGGGTGTCTAAATCTGATCCCACACCCTAATTCTCATTGCCTCTGGTCTCCTCCATTTCAGATGCCAGGACTCTCGAAAGAAGGCAAGGATACAGGTTCTAGAGCTGGATCAAGTGGAGAGTAGACACCCTAGGCCCTGAACACAGCAGTAGTGGAGAAAATTTAAGGGACAGGAGTTTGGGGGGAGTAGCACAGAGGTTAGCAAGTCAGAGGCAAGCCCCCTTTATCCAGTTCTTTTATTGTGTGTGTGTGTGTGTAGCAGTAGGGAGGGTCATCCAGAAGTCAACCCACTCCCCAAACCCAGGGCTAAAGAAGTTGAAAGAGTCTCTCCCAGATTAACCCATGCAGCACTGTCCATGGGCAGCTCATCTGCAACGCAGGTCAGCTAGATGTGTCCATCTCAGGGATCTCAGTAGACACTTCTGTTGGCACTGCCAGCCGGTGTGGAGGCACATAGGAGCCCATACCTGCTGCCCTCTCGGCCTCTTTCTGACTGTAGGGCTCCACACTTAGTTGCTTAAGCCTGGGGGAAAAAAAGAATAGGAGCTCGGAGCTGACCAGATCCACGCCCTGTCTGTCAGCACCCACCCATCAACGCTCTCCTTAACTCCCTTATACCTTTTTTTATGGTCTTTGGTTCGTAAGTGTGTCTTTAGGTTGGCAGAATCCACGAAGTACCTCCTGTAGGGGTGGGGGGCGGGGTTAAGAAAGAGAGTTAAGGAAGTGATGATGCCTTTCGGGTACTCCCAGATCCTAGCTTTTCTGTCGCCAGGTCCCAGGCCTGAAGGGATGGAAGCAAAACCAGACCCCCGAGTCCCAAGAGTGCAGCCCTCGCGCCCCCGTCTTCCCACCCCTGGCCCGTACCGCTGACCCTTTCCTCCTCGGGCCAGGCCCGACCAGGACTCACGAGCAGGCCAAACAGCGATGCAGACCACCCCCTGGCAGGTCCGGATCGGGCTCGGTGCCCTGGTCTGGTCGGGGTCGTCCGGGAATCTGGGACCGCAACTCGCGGTGAATCTCGTCCAGGTCCGGCCGCCGCCGCTTTGCCTTCATCTGCCGGGCCAGGGAGTGCGCTCGGTGCGCGCCTGTCCGGCGAGAGCGACCCATGACTGGTGACAGCGGGGACCGGACCCAGAACCCAAACCTCAGCACACGTGTGGGCCCTTCCGGGCTGCTTCGTGACGTCACGCGACGGCCGGGGCGGAGCAGTTCTCCCGACCTCCTCTGATGACGTCACTGGCGCGGGCCGTTCCTTGAGCGCCCCCAGGCGGTCACGTACGGCAACGGCGGAGCTCCGGGTGAGGCCCCTTCCCTCAGAACTAACTGGTCCTAAGGCAACTGTGGGCGCTCCCGCAAGGCCCAAACTATCTCAACGCCACCCTCTGGCCCTCGCAGCCGTCCTGGTCCCTCTTAGTCTGCGGCGGGAGGGCCGGAGCGCACTGTGGCCATCTCTGGGAAGCACTGGAAACTGTGACATGAGTAAATTAAAGATGAATGAAAGAGTGAATGCGTTTGAAATGCCGGCCCCCCACAAGGCTCCCTGAGATACCACCAGTCCAAGACAAAGCCCTCACCGCTGCTCACTGCTCCCCAGTTACTCCTTCGGGTCCCCACCCTCCATCCACGGCCAGCCAAATCCACGAGGGAGAAGTGTTCTTGCGCAGAGAACCCAGCGTTCAGGGATTCCGTCAGATGGAAGAGGCTTCAGTTCCTCTGACAAGAAGAGTAGGTGTTCATAAAAGGACTCCCATCTTTGCGTCCTGGAGCCCTGGAGTTTAGGGGTTGCATGCTCACAGTGGGGAGAGGGTCAGGGGACCTTTCCCCATTCTCCAGAGATTGGCGCACTCTGGGCTGATTAAAGAGCTCAGCAATAATTCAGGGGTTCCAGCTCTTGGGAACCTGTTGCCAGGAAACAGGGGGGTAGGCACGTGCATCTCTGGGGAGAGGAATCAGTTTCCAGCCCAGACAAAGCAGTGAAATGTAAGCCCAAGGTGCACGCTGCGGACCTGGGGACCCTCCCACTCTAGTTTACAAGGCTGAGTGAGATGGGGTGGGCCCCTACTGAGAAGCTACAGCCACAGGGGCCCAAAGACTTTGTAAACGGACTTTATGAATGGAAGACGATTTTTCTGGAATCACTCCAAGGGTTCATATTCAAGTACTACTAGGCTCAGGAGGGAGATTTCTGTGGAGAGAGACGTCTTTATAATTCTTGGCTTATCTGGGTCAAGACAAGGGCCTGACGTGGCAGAGGCTGGCTTTGTCCCCCCACCCCCAGACTCTTTCGGATCAGGTTCACCTGTTGGGACTATGCCAACTGGGGAGTCTGGTGTATCATTAATGAAGTCACCTGAGCTCTGGACAGGCTCTGGGCCTCACCTAGTTCCTGGGGCCAGACCCACTGGGTGCCCACTCAGCTACCAACTTCCCGGACTTGGATGCCAGGCCCATTTCCTCTGAAGTCATGAACCAGGCTTTCTGGAAAACCTACAAGACCAAGGTGCTACAGACCCTGAGTGGGGAATCTGAGGAGGACCTGGCAGAGGAGGTAGATATGACCCATGCTTTCTGGGTGGGGCATGGACAGAGGGACAGCCGAGTGACAGGTACAAAGGGCAAGGGACAGGATCTGAGAGAGGGGACCACGTTTATGCAGAAGCAGATGGTACATTCTGGGATGCAAATGTCATGGTGTCACAGCAGAAAGCCAGGGCATTCAGGAAAGCTCAGAAAGGAGAAGACTTAGTAGGCACTGGAGGAGAGCTCTCTGGTTGCAAAGATCCAAGGGCTACTCAGTGCAAGCGACCCTGGAAGCACAGAAGGGCAGTAGCCACATGGGGCAAACTCAGCTTGACAACTTTTCTATGAGGCAGGGCTGAGCAGAAGTGGGACGGCTCGGCTTGAAGGAGGTGAACCGCCGGTACTGGAGGTGGGCCACTGCAGCCGTATCAGCCCAGAGCTATCTTTGTGCCCTATTTGTACTGACATGAAAGCCACAGAAAAGGGCCCAAAGCTGGGAAGAGTCAGACCTGGACAGGCTGTGATAAATGGAGTTACCCAAACAGATGTGGCAAGGGCCGTTCTGTGGGTGCTGGTGCATGTGTGTGAACCGTGTGGACTAAACAGATTGATGTCCACGGGTGAGCTTGCATAGCTGTATCTGTGGCTTGAGTGGACTCCCCAGGAAAGGTGTGAACTGGGTGGGTATTTTCAGGTGTGTACATTTGGGGCGGAGGCCTGTGCCTGCATGGCTCTGTGTGCACTTTTGCACGTTAGGCTTGTAAGGTGTGTGTGGACAGCTGCGTCCTGCTGTCTGGATGAGCGAAGAGGTTTTGTGCGCTGCGCTGTGGTCCACAGTGGTTTACATGCACCAGGGTCAGCGGTATCTTGGGAACGTGCCGCTGTACAGGTGCCTGCCAGCACATGCATCTATGTACAGGTGAAGAGCTGGAGCCCTGTGGAGGCAGGTGCACATACAGGTGTCTACATCAGCATGCCCTTGCCCACACGGTCCCGGGCATGTGTGGGTAGGCAGCATGTGCGTGGGGCTTTCTCACACAGGCCGTGTATGTGACTGAGGTACCTGAATGCAGTTGGTGGATGTGAGGTGACAGGGTGTGTGTTTAGTTCTGTGGGGCTTGGGGTGCCTGGTTGTGTGTTCCAAAGTAGCTGAGAGAGGGGAAGAACCCATTCTTCTGGGACCTCTGTCCTATGTGTGTCCCAGAGAGAGAACCCGGTGTTAGTGGCATCTGAGACGGCAGAACCCACTGAAGAGGCCTCCAATCCCATGTCACAGCTGGCCCGCCGGGTGAGTTCTTGTCAAAGGCTGATGTGGAACCTTGGGAGGTGGTTATGGGTGCTTCTCTGACTCTTAGCCCCTTCTTCCCAGGTTCAGGGGGTTGGGGTGAAAGGTTGGCTGACAATGTCATCTCTGTTTAACAAAGAAGACGAGGACAAGCTGCTGCCACCGGAGTCCTGTGCTGACCAGTATGTGTGTGTGTGGCGGGGTATTCTAGGACAGGTCTGGGCACCCCCCTTTCCCCACGTCCCTTCCATCTGGCCTGTGGCCTCTCTTTCTGATGCAGGAGTGGGGCCAGGGTGCTGGCTATTTCTGTTTCTCAGCAGGAAAGAGGCCAAATCAGCCTACCTGGGAGATTAGGCTGTATCCCAGGAGGAATTTTCCAGCTGCAGGGGTTGGGGGGCTAGAAGGTATTACAGGTGGCAATCTCTCCCCACCTACCTGGGAGGGATGGTCTCTCTAGAACCAGGAACAGAGGAGAGAGCCTTTAGGTGTGGATGAGAGGGGGTTCAGCTCAGTGATTCCCAAATACACACCTAAACCCTCATGCTGCAGGGGATTTGTCAAACACAGTTCACAGACTCTCCTCAAGGGCTGATTAAGAGATGGCCTGAGGTCTGGAACCCCATTTTCAGCAAGTTCCCTGAGGACCGAGGCACACTAGTTCAGGAAGCCCTATCTTAGGTCTTTGATGTTGGTGGGTCTGAGCGTGGGCCTGAGTCATCCTCCTGACACCATCTCTGTCCCTGCACAGACACCCCCAGTCTTTCCTCTCCCCTGGAGGGGTGCTCACTCTTGCCCAAGGGTATCCTCATTCCCAGCTCTCTCCCTGAGGACCCCACCTCAAGCTTCGTTGCCCCTTTTTGATGGCTCTTCCCGGCACAAGTCCTAACTCTGGAATCTCCTCTCCCCTAAATCTCAGACCTAGATCTTTGTCCTTTCCTGGGGTCGCACCACCCCTTCTTCTTCCCAGTGTTCCCTCATTCCACTTCATCCCAACACTTGACCCAGATTGGCCCCGCTCCCGCCTAAGGTGCTCTGCTTGGCTTTCGCAACCCCAGCCTGGCGCCCCGCTGCCCTCCCACCCCCCC